ATGACAGATGGCAGTTCAAAGTGGGCTGCCTTGGGGTTGAAATGGGGCTCACAATTCCCCATTTCAAGTTTCCAGCCCGAGCTCGGGACTTGGTTGGACACACGTGCAAAGCCATGGGGTGTTGGCTGCAAAGTGTGTAACCAAAACCGGTTGGTCAGCATCTTTGCAAACTATGAGGTCACAAAGCCGAGTCAAATGCAGAAAATCAACTTCCAGAAGCACCAGAAGACAAAGGCGCACCTTGGAGCTGTCAGAGACTATCTTCATCGAACTGGTGGCTGTTCCGGCCAAAGTGGCTGGTCCGGCCACAGTGGCATGGGCTGCTTCGGCCCAGCAAATCCAAGCAGCGAAGGTGGCTGTCTCGGCCCCCCGTCAACATTGGCTCCGTCCTGCCAAGAATTTTCTGATTTTATTGGAAAATTCGGTAAATCAACAACCTTGACGCGAAAGGAGTTGCGAATGGCTTGGTGTTTAGCTGAAGGGGTCAAAGTTTTGGACCAGCGAGCTACCCAAAGTGCTTCCTTGATTGCTTTGATGCGGGATGAAAGACATGGAAGGGTCGCAGTTAGATTTCGAACAGTCTCGTCGGACCTGTCTGTGCGCAGCGGCTTTTTAGGCCAAGGAAGATTTGAAGGCACCGGCGCAGACAACTTGTCAAAAACAACTTTGAATATCATGAAGCGTGCCTGCTCAAGATTCTATGGGGCACCTGATGGTCACCTGGCTGGGCATTTGAAAGCACCTTTGTTGAAACTTCTCAGGGAAAAGGTTGTTGTCCTGTGTGCTGATTCGGCAGCAGATGAGATGGCCAGCGCTGAGATAATGAGGTCGGCAGCTCTGTCTGTCAATGGCGCTGAAGCGCTGACACCAAACCTTCAGCATGTTTTCCGAGATCGAGCCCATGCGTCACGAAGGTTGACCAGCAGGCCCTGGCATGCTGATCCCAAACTGAAAGAAATCATGGACTATATGTGCAGAGGCGCTTCCATGGCTAAAATTATGCATCACTCAGTGGAAATCAAGAGAATTTTTTCTGAATATGCCAAGACCTCAAATGCAGCCGTGCAAAGGAGTTTGAACTCGTTCAGGGCAGCAGGGCATCGCTTTGAGTCCTTTGCCCGTCCACTGGGTAGGACACTTCTATATTTCCATGCTACCTTGAAAACAGCACTTCACTTGGTGCGAACTCGCACAGGCTCCGCTGCCAAGCGGGCAAAAGCATGGCTTCTTTGGATTTCAGAAGAAAGGCTCGTGCAAGCAGCAATGCTAGCCGACGCAGCAGACTCCAGCTTGGCACTCACACGTGCGCCCGACGAGGAAAGCACTGACCCAGCGGTTGTCCACAAAGAACTTCACTGTTATATGAAAGAGGTGCACAGTCTTTTTGTTGGAAAGAAGTGTCTGCAACAGTTCGGATACACGTCAACTGTCTTGGACATGTTAAAATCACCGATCGTGTTTCAAGTTGGCAAGGATTTGAAATCAATCGGATCGAGCCATGGGGTTGCTTCTGAAAAAGTCGATCGCTGTTTCGGCGCCATGCAGGCTTGGGTTAAATTGGCTGATTCGGCCATTCAGGCAGAATTCCCTGATTTCGAAGTCATTCAGGCGTATGATATTTTCAATTTGGGTGGCTTGTCTAACCATTCGGAAAAACATCTCCGCATTCTAGCCCATGCGTTTAAACTAGATGAGAGACAATTGGAAGAGCAGTGGAAAGACATCTACCCTAGAGCTCAGCTGGCTTTCAGGTTTCAGGTTGGGAAATTGAAGGACTCCACCGCCAAAGGTTTGGCAAGGCAGGCAAACAAGGAAGCGTGGGAAGAAACCATTGCCAGCATGGCGGCGCACCATGCGACACAGAAAGCTCATCCAACGAATGTCTTGAGGACGTGCTTGGAAAATTACTTTGTGTGCACGCCAAGTACGTCTGGGGTGGAGCAAAATTTTAGCAAGGTAGCTTACAACTTTACCAAGCAGCGGCACCATGCTTTAGCAAGTCATGAAGAACTCGTGTTAAAACTGTTCTTGGACTTGCCACAGCAGACCGTGAGTGAGCAAGAAGAAATCTGTAGAATTGCTCGCGTCGCTTGGTCCTGCCAGTATGGCGCTCCGCGTGAGAGGAAAGGAGCACGTGTGGACAAAGGCTTGAAAAGGAATAGGGACAACGTTGCCAGTGACGAGAAGTGCCCTACTGAAACTGATTTCATCAAGAGGCGCCGGAGAGCGGCTGCAGCGGCTGCTGAGGACTACCAGTTGACGGATGTTGATGTCAATGAAAACTGCTGGACAGCAAACCATGACAAGGAAAACACTTTTTTGAAGAATAAGACAGCTGCACGCAAGAGCCAGGCAATTGCTGAGGACAGTTTGCCTCTGGAATATGTTACAGAAGAAGAGAAGCAGCAGTCTATGGGAATAATGGACAGGTTTGAACTGAACCAACAGAAACGGCGGCGGCAAGCTTTGCGGCACGAGAAGGCTGCCAAAGAAAAGGACCGAGGGAGGATTTTGGCAGAGCTGCATGGTGGACAAGTTTATTTGGCTGTTCCGGCCACTGTGCATCTTCAGGCTGCATTGGCAAATGCTGGCTTGACGGTTTGTCACAACATGTTAGAAGCTGATGTTTTGATTTGTCACCGGCCTGGAGACTGCAGTGAGAAGGACAAGCTTAGCATTGTCGCTGGAGTGCTGGGTCGTCTGGAGGCATGTCCCGATTTTTTCCTTCGCGGTTCGGGTGCTGCTTTGAAATTTCATTGTGCTGCTTCGGCACGACGGGCTTTGATTGTGTCAGCTGAATGTGCTCAGAGACATTTGCCATTTTGGCAAATGCTATGGTCTGTTTTGCCGCCTGGTTGCAAGTGGACGCTTCACAAAATGGCTTCCGACGCATCGTTTCAAGACATGACCGACAAACAAAGAGATTATCCGCAAGGAGTTGGTTACTTGGTTGTGTCGCCAGAGGAGCGCTCGGCTGTGGCAGCTTGGCTATATTATTCTCAGTTGGTTCGTGTTTTTACTTTGTTTGGTCTGATGGAACAGTGACTCCTTGTCCACTTGCATCTATAGCTGTCCCTGAGGCATTGGCGAGGGCGAAGCAAGTTTACACTGTGGAGACTTTAATGCAGCGCATTCGTAGGGCAGACCTTCTTGCATCGCTGACTGGCTTGAACAAAGCTTAAATTTGCAGGGTGGAAAAGTGAGCCTAGGCTGCGTTTGTACACTTTGTGTTGGCTGCATTACCTGGTGTAGGCTCAAGATTAAAATAGTTAAAGTTCAGCAAGAGAATGGCAACCAGACTGTCAGACATCAGAAGTTCTGTCTGTGTGGCAAATTTTTCGGACGTGCAAAGTTTAATTTACTTCACAGACCTGTGCAGGCATTTCGGTTTGAGAGGCTGTCAGCACAGCGGCTTCGCTTGTTTCAGCTGTTAGAGTAGCTGCTTCGGCTGCCTCGGCTGTTTCGGCTGGTCCGGTTCGGATTCCAGGCTGTTTCGGCCAGTTGATTTGGCTGCTTCGGCCAGAATCAGCGGCGAGATGCAGCGAACGCCTCGTTTGGTGAAGGTGGGTTCGGATTTTTCCGGGTTGGACACGGGTATGCTGGCTTTGCAGCGGTTGCCACAGATCCCTGTCGAGCACACATTTTGTTCAGATAGCGACGAAGACTGTCAGAAGCTTTTGCAGAAGTTCTACAATCCGAAGACACTATACGGCGACGTATCCAACCGCAAAGAAGAAGACGAAAAGACGGTTGATCTCTACATTGCCACGCCCCCTTGCCAGGCATGGTCTGCGCAGGGCAAGAAACGTGGTCTGAAAGATCCTCGTGGTGGCCTGATGACGGTGGCAATGAAATATGTTAAACGCCGAAAACCCCGAGCATTCGTGCTCGAAAATGTCAAAGGCTTATGTGCCAAGAGGTTTAAACCAGTGCTGAAAGGAAGTAAAGAAAAACTCCAAGAGCTGGGTTACAAAACCTTCTTTGGTGTGCTCAACTCCAAAAATTACAAGGTTGCTCAGGACCGCAAGCGTCTCTTCATCATCGCAGTCAGAGAGGATTCGTACAGACGACCATTTAAATGGCCAAAGTCGCAGGGCGCAAGGTCGTTGACGTCAGTTTTGGACCCAGAAACTTCAGAAGACGTTCCTGGTCGATTGCCAGCAAACAAAAGGAGCAAAGAGTTGGCATTTACTGTGTACAAAAAGGTTTTCAATGACCACAAGGTGGATCAAAGAAAGACACCTGTAGCAATCGATGTTGGCTGCAGCAAGTCTTTCCTGACATATGGTGTGGAGATTGCACGGACCCTATCCAAGTCTCGGGCCGCAAGCGGCAGCTTCTGGATTTCGTCGCGTGGAAGGAAGATGACCACAAATGAAATTATGCGGGTGTCGGGCATTCGACCAGAGTCTGAATTGATGGGTTGGCAGGAGGTGACTACAAAGTCCAAATTTCAAGGCATGCTTGGAAATTGCGTCCCATTGCCATTGATGGGCAACGTTCTGCAAAATGCTTTGTTTTCAGCGGGACTAATTTCTGCCACGGTGCCCTTCCCGGCGTAGGGGTGCTTTTCTCAAGTTTGCCAGCGGCGCTGCGTCGTCGTCGGTGTCTGCTTGTCCAGCTCTTTCCGCTGGTTGACAGCTGCCACGGCTGCAAGGCTGCTTCAGCTTTGTTGGAACCTCTGAGATGGTATGACAGCAGGTGTGCAAAATTGTGCCGCTGTCCTCGGTGGGAATGTTGTAAATTGAGGGCTTCAATCAAGATTTTAGTGTAAAATCAGGACGTTTTCCCGGTAAAACAGGTTAGAATAACGTAATTAATATACTGTAAATATACTTGCTTTTACCCGACTTCGTCATAGCTTACAAGGTACAAGTTGCGAACATCTCGGCTCAAATCAAGAAAGGGTCACGGTGGCTCTTCCCGGCCGACCAGTGTGTTCTCTGCTGCACTGTTTCTATACGTCTTGCTGCTTCGGCAAGCACGGCTGTTTCGGCCGCTTGAAATGCTGCACTGTTTCTACGTCTTGCTGCTTCGGCAAGCACGGCTGCTTCGGCCGCTTGAAAGGACGCGGCAATGCATGCCACGGTTTCTGGCTCTTAATGTGAGCCGTGTCGGAGGAGAGAAGCCGACAGTCCCAGTGTGATCCAGGCATTTTTGCGCCAGGACCCGGATGGTTATCAAGGCGTCGTCGTCGGAGTGCTGATTGATATCTTCAATCTTGGAAATGTCATCTCCTGGTTCATTCTGAGTCAGTTTAAACCTATCCAGCCCGTTAAGTTCTTATTATTCTGACAAAGAATTTCATTCTGTGCAAGCTGCCGCATTGTTGGGACTGCCAGTCAGTGTCTCTTTTTACAGAAAGCATGTGTGAGACAGCCATCGCCGCCCAGGCAAATCCACATATGATGCGGTTGGATTGGATTAATCGCAGATATCTGATGTCTATCTGTCTTTCAAACATGGAACATGCCTTTCTTAATTTAATCTCTGGCTACGGCTGTTTCGGCCTCAACTGAAGCTGCTTCAGCCTTGCAGCTTCAGGCTGCTTCGGCCTGTCAAAGCTGCTTGGGCTCGTCTTGCAAAAGGTACTTGAAGCTGCTTCGGCTTCTTAGCTAGTCTAGGATGTTTGTATATACAGCAGTCGGTCTCGGACTGAATTGGTGCAAAAGGCAAAGGCAACTGGGCTGGGGCGGGTGTCACGGTAAGCAGAATCAGATAAATACCACCAAATGACGATATAATATTAAAAGGGAAATTTAGATTTTTTGTCCTCTCCTTAGGAGCATCCCCAGATTTTCAACGGACCTCGAATCAACGGGTGGGAATGTCCTCTCCTTACGAGCTTCGGGGTCGTCCTTGAACCTCCTAAGGAGAGGACGACAAGGGGACGAAACTGAAATACTGTTAAGTATGAGTTTTTTACGGACCTTTGTCCCATTGTTGTCCTCTCCTTAGGAGCTTCGGGGTCGTCCTTGAACCTCCTAAGGAGAGGACGGATTGTCCTCTCCTTAGGGGCCTCTCTCACATCCACTTGCCCGTTTTAAGAGTTTCGGCTCCAGCACACGTGGCTTCTGTGTGGCCACGCCATCTGCGCCCCCTGGCTGCATCGGCCAACAAAGACTAGCCGCTTCGGCTAATTTTGGTGGCTGCTTCGGCCACAATGCCTCTGTATCGACAAAAAATGGTGGACTTGCCGGAAAAGGCAAGGATTTTGGCCATAGACTGTGGTGGTGTTTTGTCGTGTAAGACTGACGACGTAAAATATGACGACGACAAAATCTACAAAGCAGCAATGGAAGGGGCCTACTGCTTGGTCCAGTTGTACAAGTTCAAATCTGGCAGATGGCCCCACGTGGTGAGCAGGGTTAACTTCCCAAGCAACAAACACTGGGTGCTGCGCTTCTGCAAGCATACCTTTGGCATTCCAGATGAATGCATCCACTTGGTCAGAGAAAAAGCAGAAAAAGGACCTGTGTGCGCACAAGTGGGTGCAACAGCTGTGGTGGACGATAGTTACGACGCCCTCTACGCCATGGGCACTGGCGCATGGGAGACTTTGGCGAGTGCTGTCCTTTTCCAGGAGCAGGGAAAACCACTTTCAAAACAAGGTCGGTGGGATTCATGGCTTTTGGAAAACAAGTTAGAATTCGCAGGTAACATGCTCGAGTTGATGGTTGCCTTGGGGATTGCCCGGACAATGACACAAGCGGAGGAGTACCAGTCGCTGTTTAGATGGGCCACCCACCCATCCACACTCCGAAGACCGGCTGGAGACGGCGTTGGCAGTGATCCGTGGCATACCTCAGGCTGTGCAAGCACGGGAGGCTGAAGTTGCATCTGCCGCAGACGCCGACGCGCATGGCGTCGACTACAGCGCGGATGATCAGGCACCCGGTGCTTCAGTTGCCAAGGCGGCTGCGGCTGCACCTCCGCCGAAGCATGCGGCTGCTCCGGCCAAAGCTCCTCTGCCACTGGCTGCTGCGGCCGCTTCACCACCTCCGAAGCATGCGGCTGCTCCGGCCAACGCTTCTCCGCCAGCTGCTGCGGCCGCTTCTGAAGCTGCTCCACCTCCAAAGCATGCGGCTGCTCCGGCCAACGCTCCTCCGCCAGTGGCTGCTGCGGCCGATTCTGCTCCACCTCCGAAGCATGCGGCTGCTCCGGCGGCCAACGCTTCTCCGCCAGTGGCTGCTGCGGCCGCTTCCCCCCCGCCTGCTGCTGCCCCTGCTCCACACGTGGCTGCTCCGGCCACTGCAGCTTTGACGCTGACCAAACAGGTGAAACAAGAAGAGGAGGCGATCGACGGTGGGGAAAAGACGTCTTCTGACGACGACTTGTTGTCGTCGTCGTCGTCGTCATCGGAAGAAGACGACGACGGCGGACCGACTGCTCCTGCCAGACTTGATGAAAAAAGGGTCAGGGAATCGTCTGGTTCAGCGGCACCGCCCCGAAATAAGCCACGACTTACACTGCGGCCATCTGTAAAGCAGGAAGAACAGGACCGACAACAGGAAGGCAAGGAAGCAAAGCAGGCTACGCCGCGGAAGCACGACAATGACGACGAAAACGATGACGACCAGGAGACGCGCCGAAGCCGGCGTCGTCGTCGTCGTCACCGCGGACAAGACGACGAGGACGAGCCCAGCAGAAGGGGTAGCCGAAAGAGTGTGGATCTCCGGCCCTACAAGTGCAATGCAGACCTGCGACCCAATGAAGACAGGGCTGTGAGCCATGCTGATCTCCAAAAATTCATGAACGACGTAATGGCCCACATCGATCGCCTCGGCGTTGGCTCAGGGGCTGCTTCGGCCCGGTCGTCGTCAGCGGCTGCTCCGGCCGCATCAAACAGGCATCGACCGACAAGCGGGTGGAGCCAAAAAAAGCTGGCACGGGCTCAGGCACATGAGCAAGCACAGCGGGAAGGTCGCACCAAGCCCCCTCCGACAGTCACAATCGCGATGTGCAAGCAATGTGGGCGCAATCAGCCAGGAAGCCGGTGCGTGCATATCCTGTGCAGGCAATGCTGCCAGGATCCGTCTTGCGCGCAACATGGCTGCTGATTCGGGCAGCTGTACAGGCGCATGTGGCTGTTTCGGCCATGTCAGCTGCTTCGGCTGAGTTAGGAAGACTCAGCCGTGATTTTTGTATTGCAAGGCGTAAAAAGCAGGCCGGCCACTGGAAGGTTTTTGGGGAATCAGTTTTGACAATTAATTTGCAAGTGTCAAGGGAAAAAACAAAAAAGATCAAACTTAAACATGTTTGACCTGTTTGACATGTTGAAAACACGTGCATGGTCCACATTTTCGGCTCTCAGTGTGGTCGACGGTAGATTTTGACAAGTCCTGGTTCAACAGATGGCGCCAAAGAAAAAACAAAAAACGGCACATGTGGCTGTTGCGGCCGTCGATGCCTTACCCGAAGCCATCTGCCAAGAATATTTGGTCAAAGTTCATGAAGCAATCAGCTGCATCCAAGCACATGACATGTTCAGCAACATTGCTGCCAGCCACCGCTGTCACCAAAGGAAGGAGGACGCGAAGCACTTTGGGACGGTAATATGGCTGCTTCGGCCTTGAAAACTGCACAAAGTTACCGGTGCGCTGCCAACTTCTTTTCTCAGGACTTCTTGTGGCTTGCGACCCATAAGATCCCTATCAATTTGGGCCAAGTGAAACAGATTCAAAACTATTGGTTTCCCAAGGATGACGAGCCTCCCAAGCTGTGTCCCTTTGTTGTCACAGTTGCAGTGGATTCCCATAAGTGCTCTGGCGATCCTCCGCAATCGGGGTGGCCACGGCTGAGTCCGGCCGAGCCCGTGCATGCGCTGCTGTTTGCGGCAGCTGAAGCAATCAAGTCGAAACAGGGCGCCAATGTGCTGCAAGCCTTTAAATCTTGCTTCTTGACATGCACTTTCGTCTATGAAGTTGTGCCTGTGGGTGAAGCTCGATACTTTAGGAGTCTAAATATTCGAGAGGAGCAGGTTGAAAAAGGTTTGGCGGTGCAAATGAGCTTGAGACAGCGCATCTACGACATTGCTGGGTTTGCTGAAGCCAAAAAAACCACGGATGGTATTGTCGGTAGTAAAAAACTCGCAGCCCTCTACTGTGCCCAAGTGAAGCTAGCAAGCAATCAGGAAAAAATGTCAGAGTCATTTGTGGACAGCGCGCTGACTATATACAACCGTGTATTGAGCCAAGATGCATGCTGCAAAGTGCATGCGATGCACAGCTGTTGGACAAGAGCCCATGGAAATCGATATATGCACTGCAAGCTCTGGTGGACCGAGCAAACACACCTGAAATGATTTCGTGGTGCCTCCAGGGGTTGGTGGACGGCTGGCGCATGGGTCACTTAGACCCAGGGGTTTTTGTGATCGCCAAGCTGAAGGATAGCAGGGCAAGCTATGTGGAAGTTTTGAAATCGAAAAGAAAAGTTCGTGACTACCTCCTCGGTGACTGGCTCAACTCGCTGCCCATCAATGACGAATGGAAGAAGAAACTGTCAAACAGCTTCACCTCCTTCGATGCATGTCGCAATTTTTTTGCGCCATTTCCAGGAGATCCGGGATGCTGGCTGCTCCGGTCGGCGTGCTTCGAATCGCAGAATTCTTTGACCAGATCATTTATGGAAACGAGTTCGACGGCCGCTACAAAGATGGAATCAAAATGAAACATGACGTAGCTGATTTGTTGGAATATCCGACGGTGAAGTCAGTCTTGCAAGAATTGGAAGCAGCTGTGCGATCAGAACTGAAACCGGAAAAGTCTGCAGAGCCTGTCACTGTGGAGGAGACGGCGCCAGCTGCTCCGGCTACTGCACCGGCTGCTGCGGCCTCTGAAGCTGCTTCGGCTTCTGACGCTGCTCCGGCTGAATCTGCTCCAGCCAAGCCTTTCGACCGCCTTTCAACAGAGGATCAAACATTGTGGCGGCAACAGATGCGCAAAGTTTTGCAGCAGCATGTCCGATTTGTTTGTGACCACAAATCCAGCGCTGAACTTGAAGAAGCTCTCAAAGACACACCTTTCATTTCCCTCCGGGGAGATCAAACAGGTTTGTGCCTTTACCATTTCGATCTGAAGAAGTACGGCGAGCCGACAACTCGTCCAGACGTTCGTGTGCCGACATTCCGTGAAGCATTGTACGGCCGCCTGGTCAAATCGATCCTGGCAGCACGCAGCGCCGCGCAAGGATTGCAAAACTCAAATCTTCAGGCTGGAGAAGTTGCATTGATTTTAGATGGTGGCAAACGCGGCCTGAAGAACAAGTTGCTGCATCCATGGCGAGAAGGAACTGCTTCCAAGAATGCTGACGATGACGCTGAAGAAGACGGTGCAGAAGCAGACATGGAAGAAGACGATGGCAAACCAACCTTTTTCGCCGACTTGTTGCAGATCGCCTACTCTGAAAGTTCTTTGGCCGCCCGCAAGAAGAGGTTGCGAGGAAATTTCAACTTGAAGCAGATCGAATGGTGCCATGTCCTCAGCACAAAGAAACTTTCACTGCCAGTCAAAGAAAGACTTCATTACGCAGGGTTGACAAATGGAGACTTGATTTGCAACGTGCACCTACCAGGGTGGAACGAAGAATGGCAATTGCCGTGGAAAATGAAAAAGGATCTTTACGGCAAGAAGCACCTCATTGCAGTGGGTTCAAAAACCGAAGGCGCCGATGACCAAACTCCGTATGCTGACCGAAGAAACAATGGAAAGGAACCAGTCTGTTTTCACAGTCCGCCAGAAGAATTTTACGCAGAGCTGATTCATGACTTTTACGTCAAGCTCATTTTGGATCTTACACCATCAGACGGCAAAATGGCTGTTTCGGCCATAAAAAGTCGTGTGGGGTATGTCGGTGTGTGCTACAATCCTGAACACCAAAGTCTGCTGGAAGAACGCCTGCTGGAAGTCCTGGAGATGGAAATGAGAAACAGCGGAAGCTCTCTTTTCTCAGCTGCCTACTGCGAAGCTGTCGGTTGCAGGACTGCTTCGGCCTTGCCTGGCGAAGAAGAGTTGAAAAAGAAAAATCCGAAGCCCGTGCCAAAAAAGAAGGCCAAAGCCAAGCCGAAAGCTAAGTCGACAAGAAAGCGGGGTAGCCGAACCGCAGAGAAAGACAAAGAGCCGGCAGACGACGACGATGACAAAAACAATGACGACGACGAGAATCAAGGCGGTGAGGAAGAGGACGAAGAAGAAGATGTGTGGGACCCCTTCAACGACGAGTAGCTGGTTCGGCTAGCTAGGTGCTGCTTCGGCACCCATAGTCTGTTTTTGCTGCTGAGTTGGGCGTGACAGTTTTGACCATGCACTGGAAGAGTGCAAAAGTCGCGCCGCTGCAAGTGTATAGACCCCCTGCAAATTAATGCAATTAAATCTTCATTTTGGTACTTGAGTTCTACTTGACAAGAAACTATGAAAAACTATATAAATGACAATTGAGGCAACATGTCCCCCCTGCGGCCCTTTCAGCTCAAGCGCATGACGAATCAGCCTCCTGTGCAGTTTCTGGTGCCCAAGGATCCAATTCGCAAACAGAGATGTGAAGTCAAGCAGGCTGAAAGGGATTTGCGCTTGATCCAAACAAGAATGGCTAGAACGTTGCCGATCGAAAAATTATTCCAGAAGTACTGCACTTTGAAAAGCAGCAAATGGGAATCTGCTGAGCCTCTCATGATGTATGTCAAGAAGGCACTCATTCGTCGAATGGGCGAAAGATGGCTCGTCCAAAGAGAAGACAAGCTGAAGTCGGCTTGATATGGCTGTTTCGGCCAAGGTCTGTTTCGGATCTGTCGGCTGGTGGCTGGTTCGGCCACAAGAGATTTGTTCGGATCTTAATTCAGCTTAATTAAATGTAGAAGATATTTGCAAAACTCGTGTGCCAGGGAGAAAAAAAGCGTTGCCAGGGCTCTTGAGATATTTTATGGAAGTTGGTGTTGCACACACTGTCAGAATTTGTCGTGACTAAGTTGCAAGCTTGGCTTTATCTTGGCCTTTGGAACATTCCTCTCAATGTTGCTCACCAAGAAGCTACTTTTCCTGAATAGGAGTTCTGTGAGTTTTTTAAAGATATCAGAAAGAAAAAGATATTTTTTTTCCTCGTTTATCCCTCCTTTTTTTTTGTGTGTTTTCTCGTTGAAGGCAAAAAAAAAATACAAAAATACAGCTAAATACAAGTAAGTATACTACCCTGGGCATCACCTATTGATTCTAATTCCCAACAGCAGGGCCTGTTGGGTTTCAATCTCTAGGGCTGGGGCTGGCTCGCGGGGACTTGCAGCCTTCAAAATCCGGAATGGAACCCTGGAACCCTGGAACCCTGGAACCCCTGGAACCCTGGAACCCTGGAACCCCGGAACCCTGGAACCCTGAAACCCTGGAACCTTGGAACCCTGCGACCGTGGAACCCTGAAACCTTGGAACCTTGGCACCCTGGAACCCTCAAGGATTCTGGAACCCTGCAACCTTTCTGGAACCCTGCAACCTTGGAACCCTGGAACCTTGGAACCCTGCAACCCTGCACACCTGGCACCCTGCTGGGATCCTGGAACCCTGAAACCCTGGAACCCTTGGAACCCTTGGAACCCTGGAAACCTTGGAACCCTGAAACCGTGGGACCCTGGTACCCTGGAACCTTGGAACCCTTGAAACCCTAAAACTTCCAAACCCTAAACTCTATGCGCGCTGCGCGCGCTGCATGCAATAAAGTAAACCCTAAAACTTCCAAACCCTAAACCCTAATGCGCGGTGCGCGCGCTGTGTCCCAGAGAAGTAAACCCTAAAATTTCCAAACCCTAAACCATCGTGTTATGCAACTTCCAAACCCTAAAGTTTAACCCGCGGTGTGCGCGCTGCATGCAATAAAATAAACCCTAAAACTTCCAAACCCTAAACCCTAATGCGTGCTGTGCGCGCTGCGTGCCAGAGATAAACCCTAAAACCTTCAAACCCTAAACACTAATGCGCGCTGCGCGCGCTTTGTGCAATAGAAATAAACCCTAAAATCTTCAAACCTGAAACTCTCGTGTCATAGAGGTAAACCCTAAAATTTCCAAACCCTAAACCCTAAACCCTAACGCGCGCTGCGCGCGCTGTGTGCCATAGAAGTACCCCTTAAAATCTCCAAACCCTAAACCATCGTGTCATGGAGGTTAACCCTAAAACTTCGAAACCCTAAAGTTCAACCCACGCTGTGCACGCTGCATGCAATAAAATAAACTATAAAACTTCCAAACCCTAAACCCTAATGCGCGCTGCGCGCACTGCGTGCCACACACATAAACCCTAAAACTTTTAAACTTTAAACCGTAACGCGTACTGCGCGCACAGCCTGCCATAGAGGTAAACGGTTAAACTTTCAAACGCTGCGTGCCATAGAGGCAAAGCCTAAAACTTTCAAACGCTAAACCGTAAAGCAGGCTGCGCGCGCTGCGTGCCATAGAGTGCTCCTCAAAAGTGATTACATGTCATACTTTAGTGGCATCCTCCAAATTCATTAGTCAGCCTTTGTTAATCCAGGGCCCATTTTACACATGTCATCTTCTTGGTCGTGGCGCCATTTCAGGATCACACTGATGACCTAAGCTTTGGCCTTAACTATTATGCAGGCAAGCGACATCAGCACGCTATGGTATTGGAAGACACAGGGTTTGCCCGTAGACCAGCCAAAAAATCGATTTTCCACACTGAACAATTGGATTTAACACATTTAGAATAGGAGCTCCGCCTGATTCAGATTTCATCACTTAAAAGGTACCCATGCCTGACTAGCCTTCATGACTTAAAGCGTAACCACACCCGACTTAAGGGAACCATGCCTGACTAGCCTTCATAATTAAGAGGTACCCACCCACGCCTGACTTAACAGAACCCATGCCTGACTAGCCTTCATAATTAAAAGGTACCCATGCCCCTGAATTCAGGGAACCATGCCTGACTAGCCTTCACAATTAAAAGGTACCCACTTGAACCATGCCTGACTAGCCTTAATGACTTAAAAGGTAACTACACCTGACTTAATACCTGATTTAGTGGTTTTGCCTGATTTTGGAAAAACGCAGGGCCGGAATTTGCAGGGCGCGGGCCGGAATTTGCCGGACCCGGGCCGGAATTTGCCGGGCTGGGATTTTGGGGTCGTGCCTAAATAGGATTTTTGCAAAAATCGTGCATGACTGAAGGGAACCATGCCTGACTAAACATCATACCAATCATCCCAAAAGAATCCAATAATTGCAGCAAGTGATGCCTGACCAATCCCTGCGTCATAATAAACCGTCTGCCCCTCCCCACCCAATAATGAACACACGGAATAGTTTTTTGTATTTAGTGGGTATTTAGTATGAGGGTGCGAAACTTCCCCCTTGGTTAAAAAAAACTAAATTGGAAAACATTTTTTAAATAACATCTAACTAAAATATTGCCAAAATTGGATTCCGAAGCTTCCCCCTGACATTAAATTGAAAACATTCGTTTTAAAAAATGAACTTTATATTTCAAAACCGATTGAATTCCTATTCAAAATCTAACTCAAATCTTGCCAAATTGGATTTCGAAGCTTCCCCTTATATTAAATTGAAAACCTTACTAATCCCCACCTCCTTTTACTAAACGTACCCTAAATACTAAAATATTACATTGATTCCTTTTACTAGGGTCCGCGTTAAATTTTGGGAAATTTCAGGCTGGCCAGTTTGACTTTTAATTGATACCTTTTCAAAAACAAATTAAACATGAAGGTCCCATTTCAGGATTTCACCACCAAAAAATAAAAACTAGTCAGCCCCGGTGATTTTTTAAACTAGGGTCTTTTAAGGTCGAAAAAATAAGTATTTTATATTACAACGTTTATATAATATTGGGGGAAAACTTCGAAATCCACTTTTTGGCATTTCCTGGCAATATTTTTGCTGGATGTCAAAAGGAAATCTAATCGATTCTTGAAATCGAAAAAACATAGTTTTTTTTATTAGTGTTTTTAATTTAATCTTAGGGGAAAACTTCGAAATCCAATTTTTAGCAATATCTTAATTATATGTTAAACAGAAAACTAATCGATTTTGAAACAGTTTTTTTTAAATATATTAGGGCTGGTAATTTAATATTAGAGGAAACATTTCGAAATCCGGTTTTTGTTTTTATTTTTGTTACTACAATTTAAAAGGAAATCGAATCGATTTCAAAAAAGAAAAAATAATATTTTATATTAGGGTTTTTTAATGTAATATTAGGGGAAAACTTCAAAATCCAGTTTTTGACCATATTCTAATTAGATTTCAAAAGGAAATTTAATGAATTTTGATATAGAAAAAATAGTCTTTGATATGAGGGTTTAATATGAGGGGAAAGCTTCGAAATCCAATTTCTGGCAATATCTTAATTTGAATTTACAAGGAAATCTAATCGATTCTGAAATAGAACAAATTTAGTTTTTTTATATTGGATTTTTTCATGCAAGATTAGGGGAAGCATCGAAATCCAATTTTTGAACATATTTTAATAATTGGATTTTAATTTGATATTAGGGGAAAGCTTCAAAATCAATTTTTTGTTTTTTTCATTAGATTTCAAAAGGAAATCTAATCGATTCTGAAACAGGAAAAAAACAAAATGATATTAGGGTTTAATATAAGAGAAAAGCTTCGACATCCAATTTTTTGGCCATATTTTATTTAATTTTTAAAAGGAAATCTAATCGATTTCGAAATAGAAAAACATACATAGTTTTTTATGTTGGGGGTTTTTATTTGATATTAAGCTTCGGAATCCACTTGTTTGCCATATTTTAATTGGATTTAAAAAGAAAGAAATCTGATCGATTTTGAAATAGAAATATGTGTATATATATATATATGTGTGTGTGTGTTTTTTATCAGTATTAGGGGGAAGCTTCGTACCCTAATACTAAAGACCCCCCAATACTAAAAACTCCTCCAGGTGTTTGTTATTTGGGTGGGTGGGTGAAGGGGCGACTGTTTAGCAACAGGGGGAAGGGATTAAACCGTTTTTGTTTCTAATTTCAAAATCCATGAAAATAATCTTTAAATAGAATACTGCCAAGAATAGGATTTCGAAGCTTTCGCCTAGTATCAAATAAAACACCAACACCTGAATTAAAAAAACTAAAATTGACGATTTTAAAGGACGGACCCCAATAAAAGACACCCCGGTGTTGACTAGTTTTTTATTCTTTGGGGGTGAAACCCTCACATGGTACCTTCATTTTTAAAATT